TGTCTCTCTGTTGTGTTGCTTTCTCTCTCTCTCTCTCTTTTTTTTTTTTTTTTAGACAGCCAGATCCTCCAGGAAATAGTTCTCTGAGGCCTCCATTGTCAATTCTTCCAGAGAGGACTTGCCCCTGAAAAGGGAAAGGTCACTTTACTTACTTAGTGATTTGGATTTGGGGTTTTGTGGGGTGTCTGTTTCTAGGTGGACCAAAGCGCACAGTCTCTTGTGTCAGCAGAAAATTCAGAAGTTTCAGATAGCCCAGGTGGTTAGAGAGTCTAACGCAATGCTTAGGTAAGTTGCTTGCTCTGCAAAAAAATAGAGGCTGGGAAGGAGTGGAAAGGAGTTAGTTGCTGGGAGAGTGAGCAGAGACATATAGTCCCATGAGCACTTGAAGTGGGGAAGGTCTTGCTTTTCCTCTCTGGATGCTGTTGAAGGTTTTTTTCTTCTCTTGGGTGCTTCCTAGGAAGCAGTCTGCTGGTAGTGGGTATGGTATGAATGTGACCAAGGCTTCATCTCTTGAGAAAAGGCATCTAGCTCATTTTTCCCAATGGGAAAAAGACTTTTAGGATTGCCATGGTGACTGGTGTTCTTTATGCAGACATGGGAGTTGGCTGGCCTGGGAACTTCGATCATTGGCAGCCTTCACAGTGCAGCTCTCTGCTGGAGCGTCTTTACTGGGGGAGGGATGGGAGCACATAGGGGAAGGAGTTGTCTCAGGTGTCTGTCCTTAAGGATTGTGTATCCTAACTGGGGACAGAGGCCAGCTCATGAAAGGCCAAGAGAGTAGAGATGCGTGCAGACCCAATAAATGCCGGGGTGGATTGGGGTATTTCTCAGCAAATCTGCCCTAGGATTTCTGCCTGGTTGTATTTTACAGTTGACCCTTGAACAACAGCAGTTTGAACATGCTGGTCCAGTTATATGTGGATTTTTTCCGATAAATATTCAGTTGGCCCTCCAGGTTTCACATCTGTGGATTCAACCAACCACAGACCAAAAACAGTATTTTCTATCTGAAGTTAGGAGTCTGCAGATACAGCGGGCTGACTATATGCATTGTTCCACGCCATTTTATTTATTTTATTTTTTTAAATTTTTGCTGCAAAAAGCTTTATTGTTTCAATTTGGTCCAAGGCATGGGAGAGGGCTCCAGGATGGTAAGAAGGCTGCCTGCTGGTTTCAGGGAGAGGCTCAGGCACGAGGCCAACACCAGGGGGATGCAGAGGGGCCCCCAAAAGCCTCTGGGCTCCAAAGGCTCTTAGTCATGCTTGAGAGTGAGCCTTTTGAAGAGGTACTCGCCCAGCCCAGCCTGGGGGCCGGCCAGCCTGCGGAGGTTAGTCAGGTGGTCTCCACGCCATTTTATATAAGGGACTTAAGTATCCACGGAAGTCTTGGAACTAACCCCCGCTTCGGATACTGAGGGGCAACTGTAGTTAAATTTTTGGGGAGACAAAAGTTATGTGTGGATTTTCGACCACAGGGGGTCGGCACCCCTTGCCCCCATGTCATTCAAGGGTCAACTGTAGTACAGAAACAATAAGAAAGTATGAGCCCATGCATATGAAGTTCAAGGACAGGCAAGCTAAACAATGGCGATATGAAGTCATAATAAGGGGAGATGGCATTGATCTGGGAAGCTTGATCTGGTTGGTTATTACATGGGCGAGCACATATGAAAATATCAATTGAGCTGATTATTTAAGATTAGTGCACTTTAATCATTCGCTATATGTATTTTATACCTCAATTTATTTATTTTTTTTAAAGAAAAAATTAAATACATAACCCAAGTAGAAAATAAAGAGTAGCAGAGGCAATGCTATTCCGTTCATCTCTTTTCAGGGAAGGGTACAAGATGTTTTTCAACACCCTCTACCAAAACAGCATTCCGCTTTTCATCTTTTCTGCGGGCATTGGCGATATCCTGGAAGAAATTATCCGGCAGAAGCAGGTGTTCCACCCCAACATCCACGTTGTGTCTAACTACATGGATTTTGACAAAGATGTGAGCCAAATCTTGTTTCGGCTGGAAATGGACGTGGGGTGGGGCCCACCAGCCAGGGCACGTCACCCTAAACATTAACCCTGACCTGCGGGGGAAGGAAGGGGAAGGCATGCTGCTTCTTAGTCCTCTGAGTTCTTTATTTATGTCAGCTAAAGACAGTTACTTTTGAAGGACCCACTCTTTGGTCCTTCAAACACTCTTTGGTGTTTGGCCAATAATCGGCTCTCTCCCATGGGGGACCTAGTTTAGGGGTCACCCAGGCCCCATGTCACTGGCATGAGTCACGTGCCATCCTAGATACTCAAAGGCTTGGGCTTTGACTTGTTTTTCTAGAGCCAGAAGTGGACTACTCTGACTCCCCCTTGTTCTAACTTCTTCCCTTTAAAGCCAGTGGCGGGAACTTCCATCCCTTTGAACTATGGTTAGGAGGTGGCCTGTAGCTGAGGCTTAGCTCAGATGTAGCCTGAACAGTGCTTATATCGCAGGCTTCATGCTTCCACCAGAGTAGGTGACCGACAATGTTTGATGGCCCCTGTTAGTTTAAATCAGGGATTACAAACCTTGTCTATAAAAGACCAGGTAGTAAATGTCTTAGGCTTTGTGGGCTATACGGCTTCTGTCGCAACTACTCCACTCTCCCGTGCAGAAAAGCAGCCATAGATAAGATATAAACAAAGGCACACAGCTGTGTTCCAGTAAAAGTTAATTTACATAAATAGGCCAAGTCTGGCCCATGGGCCCTACTTCGTCAAACCTTAGTTTAGACCACAATGAGGTTTGGTGTTATACATGGCTTTCAGGATTTCCTTTCCTCTGTGACAGAGGCTGTGGAAAACTGTCACTAGACAACTTCTGTGTGTTGTCTTGTTTATTTAGGGTTTCCTACAGGGGTTCAAGGGCCAGCTGATACACACATACAACAAGAACAGTACTGTGTGCGAGAACTCCGGTTACTTCCAGCAGCTTCAGGGCAAAACCAACATCCTCCTGCTGGGAGACTCCATGGGGGACCTCACGATGGCTGATGGAGTTCTAGGCGTGGAGAACATTCTCAAGATTGGCTTCCTAAATGACAAGGTAGGTCGGGGACCAGGGCTTCCTCCTTCATGGCTTGCTGCTTCAATTCCTGTTAACAAGTGCTTATTGAACACCTATGTACTAGACGCTGCATTAAATGGTAGAGGTACAGAAGTAAGACACAAGCTGTATTCTCCAGGAGAGTATTCCATATTTTCATAGGAAGATAGGAGACACCCAGTGAGTAACACTGTATCCTCACCACGTGGCGTGATACTGGAGTTCAGAGACGGTAGTGCCAGGCATTTCATTGGAGCCTGCACTGGCTGAGTGCTCTTGATATGCCAGGGACCTTAACTCATTTAATTCTTACAACAGCTTTTGAAGTAGTGACTGTTATACCATTTTACAAATGAAGAAACAGGCAAGCAGGTTAAGTAACTTGCCCAAGGTGATATAGTTTAGGAAGTAGTGGGGCTGATTACCAGTCCTCTTAAATCATACTTGTAAGGCATGATTAAGATGGGAGATGTCAGTATTCAGGATGTGGGTTTATAATTTAGAGAAGAAAAATACAGGAACAGACCAGGGGCCAACAGGGGTGAAAACAGTATGGTCATAAAGGGGCTACAGTGTGGTATCGAGCTGGAAGGCCACCAGTCCTCACTCAGCCAGCATGTGCTGAAGTCCCGCAGAATGTTTGAGCCTTATGAAAATTCTTTCCAGATAGATTAGAGGTAACATCTGGTTTTTAAATTTTAATCTTCATTACTGTCCTTTTGACATTGGCCCCAGGGTTAATTGTGGCAGCCTGTGCCCATTGCCATCTGTGTCTCCATAAGGGTAGATTCCCGTGACCTTGAACAACTCTTGGGGAGTTGTGGCTCCCCCAGCCCCAGGTGCTGGAGAGTCAGAGGGCGTTTTGGGGCCTCTCAGTCTCCCTTCCCCTGGGCAGGTGGAGGAGCAGCGGGAGCGCTACATGGAGTCCTATGACATTGTGCTGGAGAAGGATGAGTCGCTGGATGTGGTCAACGGGCTGCTGCAGCACATCTTGCACCAGGGAGACTGGGTGGAGATGCGTGTCCCCTGAGCGTGCATGTGCAGGGCCAGTCCCTGCAGGCTGTGACAAGGAGGGGAGCCTCGCTGGGCGGCTGCTCTGCTGGGAGCCTTCTCTTCCTGGTGTGTACAGAGGAAAGTCCAGGGCATCCACAAGCTGCTGGGTCCTTGCCCCTCCCCCCTCCTTTCCCCGGCGCCTTCTGTTTGTGTTCTCCAAGGCCTGAGGGAGACCCTGCCAGCGGGGAGGCAGCAAAAGCCATTCCAAATGAACTGTGGACCTGTAGGGTATTCGTACTCCAGGAATCATTTGGTCCAGGATTCTTTTTTTTTCCCCCCAAAAAAATTTTAAACATGGGAAACTCTTCAAACAAGCTGAATGTATAAAACAGATCGAAATAAAAAAAAGGAAAAACCAGAGCTGTTTTGATTTGGGAGTTGGGGGGCAGAGCCTGTACTCTTTGGTCCTGGAGGTGCAGGAACCTCCAAGAAGCCACTAGGGCTCCATGGAACAGTTTGAAAACCACCGAATTAGACCAGAAGACCCCCTGAGCACAGTCTAAAATGTCTGTGGGGATCGAGGTGGGCAGGCAAGGTTGGAAGGGTATGTTCCTGACCTTGAGTGGTTTGGCTTTATTCTGATGCAGCTGTTAAAGTTGAATTTCAGCTGGATCTGGCCAGCCCTTCCTGCAGAACCCCCTTTAGGAGTCCCCAAAGGCTTCCATCTGGGCGTAGATTTTCCTTGGGTGCCCTTGGCTCCTGTCCATCCTTCTCCTCATGAGTTCAGGGCCACCAGAATGAATGACCTAAGCGGGATGGATGACGGTGACCTGAAGGGAGAAGGCACTCTGCGGCAAAGTGAAGTAGAAGTGGTTCATGCTCTGTTGTCTTGCATAATTGGACTTTTCTTCACAGATCCTTTCCCTTCTCTCCCCGCTATTTACTTGGATGGTCAAGAACTAGCTGAATTCTCTTTAGGGTACCTTTTGAAATAAAAATGTAGACCAGTCAGTTCTTGGTGTTTTCTTAGCCTGTTCTTCCCTCAGAAATTCAGCCCCTCACTCTCCTCCTGAGGAAGCCTGGCTGTTGGAAAGTTGTGTTTATCTGCAGATATGAAGGGGAAGAAGGTCTCAGGAGTGTGAATTGAATCCTGCTATGCACACCTAGGTGTGTGACCATTTAATCCTCACAGTGACCCTGCAGGTAGGTTTAGTTTACAGATGGCTCAGAAAGGACCAGTAACTTGCCCAGACCCCATAGCTAGGGGCTAGAGCCAGGGTTTGTTTCTAACCAAAGCCGGGTCTTGTCTCCTGCATCATGCCGCCTGCATATGGCCTTCAGGGCTGTCCTGTTAGGTTTTGGGAGGGGTGGTTACCATCTGAGGATGGGTCTGTCAGACTTTGAGGTGACTTAAGTATGCCTTGGGACCAGGAATTGTCAAGTCACTGGCTCTGGGGAGAGGTTAAGTCTCTTAGGGGATCCTGGGCAAGAAATAAGTGCTCTGGGGGCAGTTCAGTAACCAGTTCTGTCGTTTTTCTCTCCCGAGCATCCCTCCAACCCGTCTTCCCATGGTCCATCTCCATCGCATTGGCCAGAGTCCAGCAGGGCAGGTGAAGGCAGATGGCCTGACTGGTTGCTGCTGAAGCGACACTTCCCCCAAGGCTGGGGACTTTGTTCGCTACCACTACAGCTGCTCTCTGCTGGATGGCACCAAGCTTTTCTCCTCGTGGGTCCAGGGCAGGGCCAGGGCTGGGCAGGTGGGTGGGCCCAGGCAAGGGGCGTCCTCCCCATAGCACCTACTTTTCCCCGTAAGTTTCTGTGTATGGGGAGCATAATGGGCAGGAGCAGAAAGGGAGGGTGAGGCTGTATTCCCTCTGACAAGAAGGAAGATCGGGCAGGTGGTAATGGCCGGCAGCCAGGAGCAGGGAGAGGTGGGAATATTGCGGTATTGGAAACGATCTGTGTGAAAGAGCAGAATCTGACCTGCGCAGTTTAATCCTTGTGTTTGTATGTTGTGTTCGGGATCAGGGACCTCATCTTTCCATTCACTTGGGACAGTTAGGAGACCAGGACCATCTCTCCACACCTTCCCTGCAGGCCCTTCTCTGTGGTCACTCCCCACCCTCCCTCCGGCAGACTGGGGCTCCTTTTCCACAGTCAGGGCCCCTGGATTAGGCCTCAGGGAGGCAGAAGCCTCCAAAAGGGAGACTGACCTAGGGACACAGTGTCGAGCTGACGAGGCATGAAGACAACCTGCTTTGTTCCCCTTTCTTCCCAGTCTTTGGGTCTAAGGGCCTCCCCCCAACAAAAGACCACTTGCTGAGGCTTCTGGTTTAAGTCTTTTATTTGGCACAAAGGAGAGAAAGAGATCTGACACCAGTTTAGCCTCTTGAGTGTGCAGAGCTCGGCCTGCCCCTCCCCCCTTAGTCCCCAATGAGCCCTTCCTAGTTTATCTCAGCCCCAAACCAAAGATTTCATTTTATAGCCCTAAGACCCATCTAAGTAGTTTTATTCACCCCACCTTTTCATTTTCCTCCTCTTGCTCAGCCCCTTAGAGAAGGCAGCCTTCTTTAGGGATGAAAGGTGACAGACACACAGCCCAGCCCTGACCTGGGGCACCCCAGCAGTGAGGGGGAATGGGACAGGTGTCTGGGACGGTGAGGTAAGGCTCCCCTCCTGGGGCAGCCCCCTTCCCTTGGCGCCGGGCAGAGCTGAGGGAGGAAGGCTGGGGGTCCTGCCAGCCCTGGTGCATGCTTCCGGGGAGGTGTCATGACAGGAAGAGGGGCTGGAGGTGGGGATGTGAGGTAAAGTACAAACAGAGGGGAAGTTTGGGGAAATAAATGATGAGCTTGACCTTGTTCAGTGTCTGGTGATGTGGAGGTGTAGGTCAGGAGCCAGCAATGGCCCCCCATCCAACCCCAGACTTCACCAATCCCCAGATTGGCTCTGTAACTCCAAAACTTGTAAAGAAGTGTGGGGTTGGGAGGGAAAAACCAAGTAGAGGTCTGTGCTGTGGATTTTACTCTTGGGCTGGTGGGAAGACCAGAGTTGTCTCCTCTGACCACTTTAGATGCTCTCAGACCTCAGCCCAGCAGAGGGGAGGGTGACTGCTGGAAGTCAGCCCCACTGCCCACTGTCCCCCCAAAAGTGGGACTTTGCAGTTTGGGCCCAGGCCCCGCCCTTAGAGCTCCTCATGGACCCGTTCTTGGTCCTCATCCGACTTCAGCTTGAGTTCCTCCAAGGTGATTTTGCCATCTTGGTTGCGGTCCTGGTTCTGGAACATGTCCCCTATGGTTTTCTCCGGGTCCTGCCCTGGCATGAGGCGTCCTTTGCCCTCAGTAACTTGAGCCTTGATGAAGGTGGAGAACTGGGAGTGTGGAGAGCAAGGGGGAGGGTGGGCGTGAGGGTCTTGCCTGAGGAGCCGTGGGTGGCCTTGGCAAGAAATCCCAAGGGAAGGCCAGCCAGTGAGGACTGAGAGGAGAGGAGCCGGTGCTGGGGTCCTGAGCAGGACCAGGGCAGTGGCAAGGGAAATGGGCCACGTGAGTGCCGGGAGAGATGGCAGGGACCAGGAACCCAAGGCACCGTGACTGGCGCAGGAGCATGGGCACAGGTGGGATGGTGGGCATGCACCACGTTCTTGCTAGATGCAACCATGCAAGTTGGCTTCTGTTGGACCGAGAGTATGGGAATGCTTATTATAAGGATTGAACTCCTCACCCACCTCCTCTTGGGGGACCTCGCCGTCCTTGTTGAGGTCCAAGTCCTCAAACAGGTTGGCAGGAGGGTCCTCATGCCACACAAACAGGTAACCTTCGGGCAGCCCCTCTTCCCGGGAAACCAGCTCCACCTCAAATAGCAGCACAGCACTGCCAGGGACGCCCCGGGCTGGAGGGAGGGAGAAGAGAAGGCAAGGGTTCCAATCAGGCCAGGGTCTGGGCCTGGCTTTGCAGCTTGCCCAGTGTGCTCCCCAGCCTGCAGTCCTCAGTTTCCCCTCTTGGGAGCTGGAGAGTGGGGCATGGGCTGTTTACAGAACCTCCTGGAAGAGGCAAAGGGGGAGGGCCAGACCAGTCTTTGCCCCTCACCTCCGCTCTCCCCGTGTGCCAGGTGTGGGGGCACCACAAGTTGCCGCCTCTCTCCCGCACACATGCCCTGCAGGCCCCTGTCCAGGCCTTCGATCACCTTGTTGGCCCCCAGAGTCGCCTCCTGGGGGGCCCCGTAGTCATGCCTAGGGGAGGAGCAGATTCTCAGGTCAATGCCCTCCGTGTCCCCCACCTGCTGTAGGCCCAGTTCCCAAGTCACTCCTGGTGCCCACCCCACGCAGCAAAGTGTGGGGCCCAGTGGTTTAGAGATGGGATACCTCTCTCATCTTGCCACTGCCCCTAAAGTGTGGCCTTGAGGGCCCATCTCTCCTATTTCCGTTTTTCCTCCATAAAATGAAATAGTAGCTCCTCTACTACCAGCCTCACCCTCCCTTCCCCCGCCTGCCCATTATGCTCCCCATACACAGAAACTTAGGGAGAAAAGGAGGTGCTATGGGGAGGACGCCCCTTGCCTGGGCCCACCCACCTGCCCAGCCCTGGCCCTGCCCTGGACCCACGAGGAGAAAAGCTTGGTGCCATCCAGCAGAGAGCAGTTGTAGTGGTAGCGAACAAAGTCCCCAGCCTTGGAGGTCTCGTTGCAGATCTCGGGGGGCCGGGACAGTGTCTTAATTTCCACTGGATCTGCAGGGTTGTGGAAATCGATGACGTGGACATCGAAGACCAGCACAGCCGAGCCAGGGATCTTGTCTCCTGGGACCAGAATGGGGGAGTGGATCAGCCTGGCGTCTAGCAGGGGCTGCTCAAGGTCTCCATGCAACTGTCCTGGGGTTTCAGACGAGGATGGGATGTTTGTCCACATAACCAGTTCTTCCAGGGGGCAGGGGAGGGAGGGACCTGCCAGTTAGAAAGCCCTTTACACGCAGTATTTTGACCTCTCAGTAACTTACTCTGCCGATCAATGCGATTAGTCCCATTTTATAGACGAGGACACTGAGGCTTCCAGCAAAGCTGGGTTTCAAATCCAGGTCTCTCTGCTTCCTAGGGCTAGGCTGTTTCTGTTGTTCCATAACCATCCCCCTTCCCCAAACTCAGAAGTCCTCCCATTTTATAGACGATGACACTGAGGCTTCCAGCAAAGCTGGGTTTCAAATCCAGGTCTCTCTGCTTCCTAGGGCTAGGCTGTTTCTGTTGTTCCATAACCATCCCCCTTCCCCAAACTAAGAAGTCCTCCAGTGTGGAAGGGGAGAAATGGAGGGACTGTCCTGGTGAAAGGGATGGAGTCCATGTGGCACGAATGGGGTGGGTGACCGGTTTTTGTGATGAGAGGGCAGAGCAGCGGGGGAAGGTGAGCGAGCAGTTCAGGAGAGGAGCTGAGGGGCAGCAGGCCTACCAGTCCCATTCTCCCCGTAGGCGAGGTGCGGGGGGATGGTGATCCTCCGGCGCTCCCCCATGCACGAGCCCTGCAACCCCTGGTCCATCCCGGGGATGATGTAACCCTGTCCCACGTAGGTATTGTACGTGTGGTTGCGGGAGTAGCTGCAATACAAGGGGGGCGGGCCGGCAAGGGAGTCAGAGGGGCCCCTGCCCTTGCAGGCAGCTCAGAACCACCCCCAGCTGCTGCCTCGGTGACCCTAGTACCTGGTACTTTCCTTCCTGCCTCCGCTTCTTGCCTTCCCCCCAGCCCCACCCTCCCTTCTCAGGACCCCGCTGACCTGGAATCAAAGAGGGAGCCATCCATCAGTGAGCCATTATAGTGGTAACGCATGAAGTCCCCGGCCATGGCTCTCCTGACACAGCCAGGTGGTAAATCCAGTGTCTCCAGCTGGACGGTGTCCTTCGGGTTGTGGACGTCGATCAGTAGGACGTGGAAGACCAGGGAGGCCTGTGGGGGGATCACAGTCCCTGGGGAAAAGACAGGCTTGAACCATATAAGCAGAGAGCAAACCGAGCTCCTCGACTCGGGAGAGCTATGTGAGCACCCTGCAAAAAGGTGCTAACCCCACTCTCCAGAGCCCTTGCCCTCAGCAGTCCCGTGGGTTGCTCCTCCTGTGAGGCCTGAACTGGGTTTCCCCTGGGGCCACCACCAGCCCATACTGAACCTCTATGTGAATCAGAATAAAGCACCCTTTCTTACTGAGATGATCACCAAGGGCTGGATTTCATCCCTACTGGCCTCCTTGGCTAGCTGCCCTTGTGCAGTATACAACCTGAACAACTGTATGCGGCAGCCCACTTCTGGGAATCCCGAGTCCCTCCCTGCCCTCACCATAGCCCTTCTCGCCATAGGCCAGGAAAGGAGGGATGATGATCTTCCTTCTCTCTCCGGGACACATGCCCAGCAGCCCCTGGTCCATGCCCTTGATCAGCCAGCCCGAGCCAACGTAGGTGTCATAAGTGCCGCCCCTACTGTAGCTGCAGAGAATGAGGTAGAGGTAATGCTGCTGGAGGAGGGAAAGGCAGGATGGGCCCTGCACTCCCCTCACGCTACAGTCCCCAGCACCCCAGGGCTCCCTCCAGCCCTTACCTGGTGTCAAAGGCGGTGCCATCCAGCAGTGTGCCATTGTAGTGGTAGCGGACAAAGTCGCTTTCCTGGACCATGCGGGGGCAGTGGGGTGGGCGCAGCAAGGTGCTCACCTGCACGGTGTCTGCCTGGTTCCACACATCCAGCAGAACCACATCGAAGTAGAGGGTGGCATCCGGGGGAATGAGCCCCGCTGTGAGGGCAGAGTAGCAGGAGCTCATGTTCAGTGCAGCCCCCACACTAGGGGGTGGAGTGGAGGACTGAGTGTCCTGCTTGGCCTCCCCCTCTACCACCTCTCGTCCCCATTCCTACTAGTCAAGCTATGATCCCACCCAGGGCCCCGTTATTTCCCTTCCTCCCAGCTCAGGACAGGAGACAGAAACTCTAGTCCCAGATCTGCCACTGTTCATACTGCATATGCAGCTGACACTGGGCAAGTCGCTCTCCCTTTCTGAGCTTCAGTTTTCTGGCGCCGAGGTCCTTGATTCTGCTTCCTGGTCTCCTCCATCCCCATGCCTGTGCCCGAGCCCTTCTCACCCACACCGATGCTGCCGTAGCCCAGGTGGGGAGGCACAATGAGGCGTCGCCGCTCGTTGACACACATGCCCATGAGGCCTCGATCCATGCCAGTGATAAGGCGCCCCACGCCCACCACGATGGCCACCGAAGTGCTGCGGTCATAGCTGGGGGACAGAGAAAACAGATGGGATACAGTGGACTCAGATGTGTACAGGTGAGGGTCACAAAGCCAGATGTTACCTTCTGCACAGGTATGTACACGCACATGCATGCACACACAATCCCCCCATATACAGGTGTAGATCCACATGCTCCTCACCTCCCTCTGAGGTCAGCCATGACCCCTAACTTACGAGGCTGGGCAGTTACAAAAAGGAAGTCCCCAAGGAGAGGCTTTTATTCTCCTGGGATGGGAGTTGATGCAGGCCTGTCTGCTGCTATTATCTGCTGACAGCAAAGGAGTGCTAAGTACTTCATCAGGTGAGGGAGGAGAGCATTTATTGAGCACTTAGGATAAGCTGATTAAATGGCTGGCATTTTACACTTATGATCTTATTGTCTCCCCTGTGAGGTGGGCGTTATTGTTTTCACTTTTCTTATGAGAACAATTGAGACTTGAGAGACAAAGTGACTTGCCCAAGGCCACAGCTAACATGGGGTCTGTGGAACTCCAAAGCCCACATTTGTGGCCCTACACCATCTATTCACCAAGGAGGAAAGGAAAAGGGAAGCTGTGGGGGAGGGGGAGGCGAATAGGGATTGGTTTTCGATTCTGAAAGAGCCTATTCTAAAACTGCCATGGCTTTTATTTGTTTTTCGTTAGTTTTAACTTATTTTAAGTTTTCAGAAGTTAAGGGAGGCTGGAAGATTTTTACTTTGACCAAAGGGGGCCATGGCTTGTGAAAGTTTTCCAGGCTCAGCACTACATGAACTGAGGCCAGCCAGGCTCCCAGAGTTCCTACCAGGCAGTCGTCCCACAACTCCAAACCCCTCCCCTACTCCTAGTGGTCAAAGGCTCAAGGCTGTACTCCTGGCTACTGCCTATATATCATTTTGCCCACTGAGCTGGTTTTCTGACTGGCCTGCCTCCTTCACAGTGCTGTTGTGAGGGCTCGAGCACCAGTTAAATACTTTTGGGGCATCCAGTTCTCCCCAGAGTCAAGGCTAATACGTATTGAACCCACTTTCAGATTGCCAGGCACTGTTCAAATTTCATGTTCATTCATCATCTTTTTTGAGTCCTATCATCAGCCTTAGGAAGTAGGGACTCAATTTTCAGTTTGTTTTTAATCTCAATTTTTCAGATAAGGAAAGTGAAGCTTAAAGAAGCAAAATTTCTTGTCCATGGTCACAGCCTGGATTTGAACCCAGGGTCTTGGACTCTGGAGTTCATGTTCTCACTCAATATACTGCCTGCCCCCAAAGCCATGGCCACTGATTTCCATTGGGCCAAGTTATGTGTTTTGGGGAAGGATCTAAGAGGGATGACTTCTTGGGGGTTCATATGTGTCACCAGAGCCCAAGGTTTAACTGAAGCTGACATGCAGCCCTGCTTGCCCTACCCCCACCAACGAAAATGCACTTGCCATAGCAGATCAAAGGCCTGGACCAGCCCAGAAGCCAGTCTTTCAAGCCCCAAGGCTGGTAAGATGGGTGGCAGCCCTGGCCTGGTACAGCTAAGATGTGGGGGCGGGGGCGGGGGGGGCGGCGGTGCAGGAAGACCCAGAGAAGGAGGTATGGAAACCCTCTGAGGAGCCCAGGGTGGCATGTCCAATTGTGACACGTAGACAGACAGGGTCTCTACATGGAGCTATGCCCTATACTCCCAGATCCATCCTGCTGTCTTATTATAATGCCCACTGCTTAAGCACAGGCTGCTAATCAACTCCCCTCTCTACTCTCTTCTCTATCTGCAAAGGCACTGAAACCTAGGGTTGGAACCTGAAGGGAGTCAGGATGGCTGGGAATGTAGGGGCTCCCAGGCTGAGACCACTGGAGGATTCACATGCAGCAGAGACCATGCTCTCCCCCAACAAGGCCGTGGACCAGAAAGTCCCCTGCCCATGTCTTTAAATAAAGTGCTGTTAAGTAAATAGAGCAGTTCACCTGGATTATCACATACTTTGGGGAATGTGGGGAGCTTTGTGAAAGAAATTGAGGTCCTTGGAGAGGCGAAGGTTTGAAGTCGAGAGAAGAGGATATATCTTTGGGGAGATGGATGTCTAGGATGTCCCGCCATCCACCCAGGGTGCTGTGTTTGGGGTTAAGGGAATCGTGGAGTACCAGAAAGCAGACACAGCTTAAAAGGGTAAGAAGGGAACCCAGGACCTAGGAGCGCCTGGCCCGGGCTCAGGGAAGGGGAGTAGAGATTCTGGGGCCACCCGACCCCATTACCTCGAGTCAAACTTCTTGCCATCCTCAAAAGTGCCGTTATAGTGGTAGCGCACAAAATCTCCCATCTGCACTTCCCTGGGACAGGCCCTGGGGATGTGGTACCTCTCGATGACCACGTCTTCCAGGGGGCCCCCGGCCGGACTGGCGCGGCCCAGCCCCCTCCCCACCGCCTGAACCAGCAGCAGCAGCAGTATCTGCAGTAGCGGGGGCCGGAGGAGGGTGTGGTTGGGGGGCCCGGTGCGGAACATGGTGCCTGGAGCTGGGACCGCCGGCAGTGAGGGAGAGAGTCGCGGCCGCCAACCTCCTTCACTACCCCTCCTCCCAGAGCTGGCTCCCCCCCTTCCTGTCCTCCTTCCCCACCCCCGCCCTGGCCGGTCCACGTGGAATGGGGGCTGGGGAGACTGAGATGGCGAGGCGGGGAGGGGGGAGTGGAATGGGAGAAGAGGGCCAGGCTGAGAGCGTTAGAGACGGAGGAATTCCACCCTTTTCAAACCCCACCCCGGGCTGAGAGACTGAGGCCTAGCGGGGGAGGGAGGTTCGAGAAAGATGAGAAGTAGGCGCTGACTCCCAACAAAAAAAAAAAAAAGAAAGAAAGAAAAAAAAAGAAAGAAAAAAAAAAAAACTTGTCTTTTTTTTCCAGAGCCCCCGGGTCCTAAAGCCGGGCTGAGGTATCCCTTGCTGCTTTTGTTGGCACCCCCAAAACTAAGGCCTCTCCGGGAGGCTGGCGAGGCTTCAGAATCTCAGTGCTGCCCCAACCCCTACTATATCAGGGACGGCTTCTCCAGGGACGAGGAACTACTTTGTCCTGCAAAAGCCGGACTGCCAGAAGGGCTTTCTGACGTGGGATGGAGATCGAGAAGGGGGAGGTGGTGAGAGTGGAGGGTGTGCGGGGTAAAACTAGGTGTGCGCCTCCCCGTCGCAGGCTAAGGGAACACTTAGCGTGACCCCTTCAGGGTTAGGGGCGTGGGGCGTGTGCAGAAGAGGCAACGTGATGGATGGAAGACCGAGTTCCAGGGCTTGGACAGAGCAGAGGGAGGTGGCATTTCCCTTTATTTCTGAATCCTAAGGTTTGGGGAGGGGCTTTCTGGCCTCCCCATCCTTGAAGGAAGCGTCTCCCCTGTCACCATTTGTCGAGGGGAAGGCACCTAAGAACCGGGCCAGGACAACGTAGGGGATTCAAGACACCATTGTGCCCTCGGAAAACAGGGAAGACTCAGCCCTCTGGCCCTCCGGGGACCTGACCCCAGGCAACTACGCCCCTGGCTGGGCGCGGCGCTAAGACCCAGCGGGCACGCCGGCCCGGCCCCTGCCCCT